GAAGACTTCAAGCTTTCCATTTGGAGCACTGATTTACTTATATTGCGTCCACAGAATCCGTCTCGGTTACGGTGCAGAACTTGTCCAAAGTGCGGAAGGAAGACTGGGATAAATTCTGCAGCCTCCTTTGGGTTATTTCCGGAAGCTCTGAGCCACCAATGGTTGTTGCTGCTAAGGTAACGAAAGTCGATACTGTATTCTCGAAATTATTTTTTAGAATCTTCCCAATTGAAATAAATCTTGAACTGGAAACAATTAAACATTACTTAAATTCAGATTCATCCATGTCTAAATGCATTTTTGGGTTTTCTCATGATTGAAATATTGGGGTTTTAGGGTCATAAAAATTGATTACGTGTTTTTCTTGGGGATACAATTTTATCAGAATTTTAGAATTAAAAACCCTTGTGCGGGTGTTATTTGAGGGCGTGTGGTACTCAAGTGATTAGGGTAATACTATTTTGATGAGGTAATTTTGGTTTGCTCTAAGGGTGCAGTACCAAGGAATACTTTACAGTAGTGTTCTGTCTTTTAATTTATTTGACAATACGGATTTTTGATGTCGTATGGGTTTCGCAGGCTGGGTCGATGAAGGGAACGATGCTGTTCATGGCTGCGGGCTTCCATTGCGGCATTCTCGACGCCGGCACTTCCGGCAGGACGCCGCTGATGGAAGCCTGCGCCGCTCTTGAAGATGCGGAAGAGGAGGAATCCAGGCGTTTGCTGGGAGTTGCGAAGGCCCTGCTGGCCATTGCGCAAGTCAATCCGAATCACGTTGTGGCGTCGGGATCGGATGCGGGAAAAACGGTGCTTCACATCGTGGCTGAGCTCACGGAACGTCCTGCGACTGTGGCCATGACTGGACTGCTTCTTGCCTACGGGGCTGATCCTGCCATTGGAGGCACTGGACTGATTAAGTTGCTGGTAAATATTTTATTTTTTTCCCGCGCTGTTGATATTTGTAATACGGTTGAGCCTCCCGAGGTCGATTTTTTTTTCTCAAGTCCCGGTCTGAATTCTCTTGGAAAAAATGTACGGTATTCAAAACCTGTCTAACTTGAAGGCTTTTCCTCTTGAAACTCCACAACTCGAATTTCTCAGGCCTTCTGGATGTTATTTTCTTGACACAGAAAAGCAACAAAAAAGTAACAATGTTTTTTGAATGGAAGTGAAAGACCAAATGGGCAAATGAACCCTTGCCTCCAAGTTTGAAATCCTTTCAACTCATTTGAGAAGCTATTGAAGGCCCAGAATATCACCAATTTTAATTTCCTGTGAATCTTCTCTCTTTCCCTCTTAACAAAAAGCTCGTTTCCAACCTCCCTGGTTCGAAAAGAAAATTTTTTCTGGTT